TGGACCCTTGTGAGTATCTGTCTAGCAGCGTAACTCTTTAAACTAGGCCACTGTTTGTTCTCACTGACTGCAGTTCTGCTAAATGTCCGCAAACTGGTGTGGTACCGACCGTCCACTGTTTGTAACGTATGCTACTTTTTGTCTAGACGCGAAGCCACATATCATTAATTGTTAACTTGACACTTCACTGATTAAATACAGAATTTGATACACTTTAATTTTCTTTTCGAATGCTTCCATAGTTGAGTTTTTGTCATTTGCATATTGATCACTGGTCAGCATTACTCAGGAAAAATCGTCAGAATTCTTCTTCATGCTATGCCTTGTTCTTCGAAGCGAAACGTCCATGCGTGCGCTCAGGCTTCTAATATTTCAAGTGTTCATTTTAATGACCAACCTGTGAGTCAGAAATTCGACGTATATTAATAACATTAAGCTCTGATGATGCTTGTGCTACTCAACCAAAACATTGGCCGTTGAAATAAAAACTTGAACGACCTCTGTCGCTTGAGTGCATTTCATCACTTACGGTTTAAAATCTGTCAAGCCTTTATTGCAAAAGCTTTGTACTCTGCCTCCTTTACCTCGTATCCACGCAGCTAAAAAATTAAATACTCCATTTCTTATTGTCATTGATCCGGAGGCATCTTCTGGCTGCTTTTCCCTCTTGGATCCTATGCTAGCATGAATTTCGTTCAGAATCTTTAATTCTTGCACGGAAACCCACGACCACCACTGCCTTGATGAACCTACATTCTATTGTTTGTTTTATTATCATTCCTTTGTCCGTCTTCCTATTTCTTGTTGCTATTGCCAGCACACACCATCCAACGGTGCATTGCAAAATTTGTAGTTTCTGAATAGCCTTCGCGCTTAAAGTCCTTGGCGCTTATCCGCACATCGTCACTGTAACCATTGAATTTTAAAGTGCGTTTAGGCTATGGTGAGAAAATTTGAAGGTGTGAGCATCTTTTCCACCGTGATCTGTGAAACTGCGCATTGGTCCGCTTTCCACAAGGTATTTCTGCCTACCATTCGATCTCGCGCTTTGGTCACTGTTCCTTTTCGGATTACGGAAGTCGATTCTTGGAAAGCAATCAAATAAATCAATTATAATAAATCATGGTGATTATGCAAAAATTCGTTCCAGGGTTTAAAATGATATTACGATCAATTTTGCAATGCATTTACGACATGCTGACATGCTGTCATTACCGAAAAGGTCCACCAAAATGTAAGAATTAGTGACTACTAGCCTTCCATCTTGCCTCAAACTTCTTGCATAGGGAAACACTTTGTTCTCTTTATTCAGTAAGTCGCGAGTTTCTGAGCTGGTCGGGCGGCGCGTTTTCAGGAATTTAATCGTAGCTCTTGGTTTTCAGCTTTAAAAAATGCTTCATAGAGCATATAATCGCTCTATTACTTTTTTGTACGACATTTTTTACAGCTTACAGACCGAAATGATCAGAGATTTGACAGTTATGACGTACTCATTGATGTCTAAGCACCTTTTAAATGAATGTTCTCATTTGACTCTTTAATAAACGCTTTCCAAGATCAGGTTCTTTTATTGTTTTCTGCTTGACTTTCTTTGAATTATCTGGCGAAACGAAGGTAATAACCGGTTTTCAAGTCGAATGAGTGAAATTTTTTAAATTGCGTTCTCACGTTGTCGTTAAAGAAAGAAGCTTCGCGTTGGCATGCTTATTTCCGGGATTTGTTCTCATTCAGCTGCTGACCTGAAAGCTCCCTTTCTAGCTTTTAAAACGGTTCAGTTTAGAGCCACATTAAGCCTATATTCAACAGATTAAGTCAATCGCCAACTTGCCGACCAGCTGCTAAATGTGGGTCTGTTCGAAAGCATGACTCATCATGGCATACAAAAGTGATCAGTCGTGCGTACGATCTCACACCGTTTACTTTGCGCCGAAGATAATGCCTTTCAGCGGTAAGCTATCGAATCATACTGCCAGGTTAAAAACCGGTTGAAATAGCTGAATCATGATTCATATTTGATAGCTACTCTCAAAGTAATGTTTCACGTTCTTGCAACGAAGTTCAGTCGTCGCCATTCCTGAAAGGTTGTATTTGGAAGCCAATTTCCAAATGATTCTTGAAGTCATCGAACGAGAACACTCGTGGATAGCTGTCCACGTTTTCCAGCGATCTTTTATTAAATCTCCACATGAGCTCATAAGTGGATAGCCACGGATCTGCTCATTGTGTAAGATGTTCCAGTTTTAATAGC